TTTTGTTCACTCTCTCCACACGCAAGACTATCGTCTTTCGACAAAATTCGCAGTGTAACATGTAGATACGGGGCCAATTTTTTTCGAAACACCCTTTTGTCAGCACTCGCGTCCAATATTCTATGCGCTCAACCCCGATGAAAGCGCATTGCCATAAAAAACACCATGATAGCACTTGGACTGTACTCACAATAGAACAGATTGTGGTATAAAATCATAGGAATTAAAGACGATTCTTAATTTATAGTCTTATCATTATAATGTCACTGTTTCTGCAAGAATTCTGTGTTTACACGCCTATTGCAACATAAGCAGCAGCCATGAATATTTGCAACCGGCTTCTACACACTTAGTTTCGCGTCCTGAATGTACAGCCGGTTAATAGTTCTACTATCACGTGTTCTCAATATTAATCCTACTATGAATGCACCCGACATTGTGGTCTACTAGTGATGATGAATCACTGCTTACTCAAAGGTCACGGTATTGATTCCCGGTCTCGGAAGTAGCCTTTTCGATGAACACGAAAATTCCTAAAGCCAGTGTACTTACATTTAGACCCTCTAAAGAACCAAGTGTGTTGAAAATTTCCGTAGACCTCGGCTTCATCGTTCCTCGTAATTATATTGTGGTTTTACGTCTAAAACGTGAAGAATGAAGATTGACTGAAGATTCGCCTCAATGTGCACGCTCTTTAATGACAGTTATAACACGAGAAACGTCATCTGTTCTTAATATTCTCAGGACATGCATACATATTAAATTAGAATATAATGATTATGAACCTTTCCGGAGGCTTGAACTTGCTACCTCTAGTTTTGCAACTTTGCAATATAACCACTGCATTTTGGTACGAATTCCTCAACAGGCTTGGGCAACCAAACACAAGTAGTTCCAAATGCTTCTCCTAATACACCAGTTCCGCGAACGCTTCTTGGAGTATACTGTTGCACAATTCACTATGCTAATTTTTAATTTTAAGCAACCCACTGTAAACGTCCACATGAAGATGAGAAGATACTCCGGCCTAAATGGCTGCACATCGTAAACTAGTCATTACGTAACAGCGTGGCGCGAGCTGTTCTCTGAAGAGGCTCTTAGGCCACTCAGTGTCCTCCTTAAGTGAAGTGAACACACTTTGTTCAAATGTTTCCGTTTAACGCTGTGCACACGATGTGTGTTGGTATGCGCCTGGCTATTTGAGAAGGAATATAATTTTCAGGAGAATTTTCATTACAGCTGAATTTTCCCTTCTTACTTAGTTACACTTCACCTATATCGCCTCAAGGTGGTGCGTAGAGGGAAGTGAAAATTGGTCACAACATTACACAATTAGCAATTTAGGCAACAGACAAATTAATATACAAGATACTTTAAAGACAAAAAGAAAACGAATTGTAATGAATCGCACCCATCCGCCCCCCCCCCCCCCGCGCCGAAAAAAACATGACAGACATACACTTTCACAGGGCATAAATTGAGTCCTGAGACATTCTTGTGAAAACAAAGTATATCATTTTTTCTACTAAATATGTTATAGAATGTCATATCTAAGTCATTGACTGCCGCCACACTGCGATGATTACTTGCTTTTGCTAAACGACACACGCACTCTCTTCACCATGTCGTGCGTCTTCCTTACGACCAAATGTGTGACTGTTTTTTGTTTCTTGCCTTTCTTCTTTAGGTTATGCCCTTTGGTCTAAAGGCTGCCATAACGGTTCTTCTTGACGCCCGGTTGTGGTTTTCATGCCCGCAGCAGCCACATTATGAAGTGACGTAAAAAGAGACCAAAATTAAGCTGCATGGGCCACAGTTTCATTATGCCTCACGGCTACTTTGAAAAATGGGAATCGATCATTCATTTTTTCATTATAAGCAGTAAATCAAGCACGACTGTTCTGCGCTCCTTGTAGTAGTTTGCCGACTCTTTCTTCGTCTTTTTTTCAATATTTACGCGTATTTCATAAAACGATCGAATTGAGCATCTTGTATCTTGTTGCGGACGCGTAGCAGATAAGTTACGGTAACATTTATTCAAAACACATATTACTTGTCTTGAATCTATCTATCTATCTATCTATCTATCTATCTATCTATCTATCTATCTATCTATCTATCTATCTATCTATCTATCTATCTATCTATCTATCTATCTATCTATCTATCTATCTATCTATCTATCTATCTATCTATCTGTCTATCTATCTATCTATCTATCTATCTATCTATCTATCTATCTATCTATCTATCTATCTATCTATCTATCTATCTATCTATTCAGCCTCCTACATCTGGGTGCTCTAGCGATCACCTTAACTTGGGGCAGACCAAAGTTAGTATGGGAGGGTAAGAGGGATTAATGATAAATACTGTGTGGTAATGACATAATGTGGACATCTCGTCAAACCCTTTCTTCTTGACATGTGTGGCCCAAACCCGTATACGACGCCTACACTATGTGGATATGAGTCACGAGTGTTAACGTAATGGCTTTAAAGAACTCGTTTCGATGAAATTTCAATGTCGGCGTTGGTGTCGGCGTCGCTGGTTGTGAGCGAAATGTTATCATCTTATGCGCGACCGAAAAATTGGGAGTGATGCAAATAAATGACGAAAAATTGTGTTTTATGTTCTCGACTTCGAAGGATCGAATGTCAAAGCTAGTGAAAGTTGCAGCTAGTTTTGTAATTGTTGTTACCAGCTCCAGCTACAAACAACCAACAAACGAATTGACTGATTAGCTAACCATCCTACCACTTACTTTGCACTTTTTGAATTCCACACCTCACTTTTGCTGTTGTTTTGAAAGAGTAGATTTGATTGGAGAAATAGATTGATCAATACGTGGAAGACCGAACTTTCACGAAGAACAACAGTGGGAATACCACTGAAAATGAAGTAATGAATTAATTTGTCGAACGAAGCTTATCTTTACAGTAAGCTTCACAATGAAAGCGGACCTTCAATAAAGAAGCAATACCGGCGTTTGAGACATCACTAATTGAGGCATCACTTTCTATTGCAAATCATGCAAGTCTAATACAAAAATCGCTTTCTATTGTAAATAATGCGAGTCCGTGATGCAGCGAGAGGACAGCTTTTCCTGTGATTTAGTTTTTAATTCTACACGAGCAAGCTAAACGAACCATACTTATTTTTAACCCATTTACCGTACATGGTAATTCTTAACTGTGATAACGCTGTACACTATTTCAAACGCTCCTCGTAAGGATGGCTGTAGAAGTATCAACTTCCTGATATACGTCTTCAAAGTATTGAACTTGGAGGCCAATGCAATTGCAACGATGTCACCAAAACAAGTCTTGAAATTGTCGCACAGGGTATTTTGATCGTTTTTGAAGTTAATCGTCATCGAAAGTTTGAGAACGTTTGAAACACCAATAAAAAGGCAACTTGGTAACGCCAAAGCTATGACTAGTTTGTTCTGCAGAATTCAAAAAAACTGAAGAGAATTCAAAGCCACCAAAGAAGTGGGCATTTAGCTTTGTCGCATTCTTTCTTTTTTATCCGCGATTGAAGGAGGGATGCTGCGTTTTTCAGCAAAAAAGTGTTACTATCATTGAGGTCGAATGCAAGTTTGTTTTCAAAAGATGCGCACGAGGCAATAGAAATGTTCTCTCTTGAGATTGCTGAATTATTGAAGTTCAACATTAACCTGGTCGTTGCAGTAGACTGTTTATGCAAACTAGTAACAGCGAGATACCGTTTCCAAAAATGATGCGCTTTCTTTTTAGTTAACTTCTTCGACGTTTCTTGTTTCAGTCGCCTTCAACAATCCAAGTTAATCCTTCTAAACCGAGAGTGCTGCAGCTGTAAATGGTACGGAAGAATTACATGAAAGCCTTCGATCTCCGGTCAACGCTTATATATAGTTTCACTAAAGTGTTTAGGTGTACAAAACAACAAGTGAAATTCCTCAAAAACTGCGAATTTCGAGCGTGCTAGCAGTTCTGCGCTGCTCGAACAGTACCGAGTTGGACCTGGTACAACTCAAGCATGATTCAAACAGCCTCTTCGACAGTGATGTGGGTGAAGTACGAAGTGTGTGAATCGTTTTTGCACATTCTTTATTGCCACGTTATATCTGAGTTTTACGATACCTTAACGCTGTGCTACTTAGTCGTTTTCCACTGTTTTCTGTTTTCCTCCACCCCTTATTAACATGCCGTCCTTGTTGGCCACATTTGCCATTTCTGGGCAATGTTGGCAAGTAAGAGACCACAAGAGTGAGGTGATGGTACATTGAGCATTAGTGTTGGCTAAAGTTTTTTACGTCTCTTCTGTTCCTTTTTGAAATATTTGGCTACACTCGAGCGATTTCGTAAATCCATGGCCGTATTTTATTACACGTCATAGGCGGGGCATTTCGGCAGTAATTTTAACCCACGGATATATATACATATCTATATGCTAATTTTGCGTGTGTGTGTGTGTGTGGTCTCGGAAGTCTCACTACCTGCAGATAACTATCGCTTGTAATTTGAGTGGGTTGTTCAATTTGGTCTACTAAGAAATGTAGCATGATTGACAGTGCAATAATCAGATGATTATTATGTCTGTAATTACAATTGAAATGCATTATAATCTAGGCACTATAATTTATTAAAGCATTGCCAATTTCTTCAAATTGAGTCTACAGAACCTCGGGATAAAATCACGTAAATTTCATGCATTTATAAGTCCACCCGAATGCTTCTCCAACGGGGCTACATTGCTGTGTCACTGAAGGATGATGTTTGAACAATGACAGGAGTCTCTTCTTGAGTGGTGGATCATACAAAGTTGGCATCACTCGCTAAACAATGTTTAAACTTTCTCGGCGATGATGCTTAAGTTGAGAGAGGGCGAAGGGGCTTAACACTTCGACTTGTCTTCGGCAAAGCGGCGACGCTCCGACTGTGCCGCCCCGCCACGGACGTTCACTTCGCCGGGTCGAGGCGCACGCGCTCCACGGCGCGCAGAGCGGCAGTCGGGGGCGCGGCACGCTGCCGGTCGCATCGCGGTGGATTTCTCCTCTCCTTGCCTCACGGATTACTCGGTCCGCTGGACTACTGCGCCGGCCGCTCGCTTCGCCTTCGGCGCCTGTCGCGCTGTTCGTGTTGGTGGTGCACGGTCGGAGGGAGTGGGGAGATGTCCGGCGCGGCACTTTGCCGTCGGACGCTGCCCCCTCGTAGGGACGTAGTCAGGCCGGCGGAGCGGACCATGCGGCGTGACCGGCCGTTCCTGTCGGCGGCGATGCTTCTAAGGTGAGCGAAGAAGCGCTTTTCTCTGCGTTTTATCTGACACCGCTTGCTGTCAGACGCCGCCACGCACTTGTGGTCGGGCGTGTCAGTCACTCACAGCTGCTGTCGGCCGTAAGCCGGACCTGCAGCGGCAGCTGCTAAGCGGTCTTTCTCCGTGACTGCCTCGTGGTGCAGCTTGTCTTCTGTGAGTGGATCGAGAAGCGTCAAAAGTGAGCGCTAATGAAATATTGGTTGGCACGGAGGCCGTAATTATTGCTACGTGTGAAAAAAAAAGAAAGCTTATTAATTTCTACGCAGTGCTGTCCAGGCCCGCTTAGCCAGAGAAGCCTACTGTCATGTCTTGGACCTTATCTTAAAGTGCTGGGGGATCCGGAGATATTCAGAACGAATGAAACACGTGCGATATCGGAAGCATAACCGAAGCCACTTTTATAATGTACAATGGCACCTGCCTTTCTTTTTTCTGTCTTGTCTTTGGGGTGTGGCAGGACTTGTATTTAACTCCACAAGGTACGTGAACAGTGTGTCAATCCACCAATTACGTAATATTGTTATGAAATTGTAAGGCTAGCGCTGCCGTACCAGCCGACACTATCAAATCAAATCAAACTTTATTTCGTCTTCAAGTTTCTGTGCTGCGGAACACAACACACAAACTTGTGGACGAAATGAAATTTACTCTTCAAAAGGGAGATCGAAGACTATCTCCATCTGTCGGCGTATGTACGTAATCGGTGCTTAATCAGTCGCTTCTAAATGAGGGGCCCACTTCGTCGAACTTTCTCCTAGAAAATGATCACGAAACTTTTTTTTTTTCACGAGTTGAGGAATCTAGGTCACCAAGCCTCTTTCGCACGCCCTTGCAATAAGATAGGTTGATTACCGCAGAACGACATCCTCTCTGAGCCATTACACGTAAAGGGCGTGGTGGCCTCCCGTCTCTGCCGCGTGTGCTTACGTTGGATTTCTTCTCTTTTGGCCACTACTTAGTGTTATTTCTGACCACGTCTAGGAGAAACTGGCTTATTTTTTTTCCCCGACTGGTATTTTACCTGTAAAAAAGAACCAGTTTCTTTATATATTATGTATTACATTAGAACTTTACAGTTGTCAAATTTCGCTAATATCAGATGCCAATAAAAAATACGTCAATACTGCGACGTATAAATTACTAGCAACCATAATAAATATATCATTAATATTAATTGTGTAATTTAAAGTCCGAAAACCATGTTATGCTGATGAGAGACGCCGTCGTGGAGGGCTACAGAAATTTAGACCACTTGGCGTTCTTTAACGTGCACCTAAATCCAACATGGATCTCAAGCGTTTTTGCATCCACTGGAAATGCGGCCTCCGCGACCTGGATTCTGTGCCGCTATTTTAGTCAGCAGTCGGGCACAATCAGCGCAAGACCAACGCCGAGGGTTAATGTCGCTTTCTTCGAACTTACCCTGATAAAACACATAAGATGGCTGACGTAATGCCAGCCGTGACACTTCAGTTATTCCAATGTGACCCTTCGAGTGTTCTTACTGTAGAATGCTGTACAATGTAACAGTGCGAGTCTTTGCCGTGTACACTGATAGAATATAACGATAAGCGAATTCTGAGGCGGCAGCTGTGGGGCAGTATTGCGCAAGCACCAGTAACAGGCGGGGTCTTATCGTTTCGATAAGAGCGTCGGATCAGGTATGTAGTTGGGCACTTTCTCGGTCATCCGCTGATTGTTTAAGCGTCGGCGATCGATTCGACATTTTCATTTCTTATCATGGCATCGACCTTATTTTTTTACGTTCGCACCGCAATTTTATAGTTCGCGTCAGTGGGTGATGTGGTAAGAAAAGTTGCGGTGAGCTGGGACTGCATTATGTCGCAAATATTATTTTTTTTAACTCACAGTGGTGGCCACAGCTAACGCGTAGCAACTGAAGGAGTGGGTCTTGGTTTGCGGCCATGTATCCTCATTTCTACGGGGACGAAATGCAAAAATAACCCACTGCTTCAATTTACGTGCGAGCTAATGAACTCTTGGAGATCAAAATTATTCGTGCGTCTCCAATAGCAGTGTGCCTGACAGCCGCATCCTTCTTTTTCTCTCTTTTTGGCGCATAGTTTTAGCTTTTGTTTTCGTAATTGAGGCATAAGCCGGTGTACTTCTTGGTGTACGTGTCGTGGTGGCGCAACAGAGGGAAAAAATTTCCTTAAAGAAAACAAAGTCTTCTGACTGGTTCAGTCGCGTCAAGTTAATTCATTGGGGAGACTAAGGAAAAAAAAATACTACAAGAAAGATAGCTTGAGAGTACTTAAGTCTTCCATGTGAAACTGTAATAACCTCTGATCAGTATACATCTAATAAGTGTTTCCCGAGCACTTGGCTTATCCTATAGCTATATTTATTGTCAGATTAACACAATCTTTAGTTTAAAACAAAAAATAAATGTGGTATTCGATTCAATATTTCCATAGACACGTCTTAATTTCCACGTGTAACATTTTTTGACCATTCTTGTTCGGTTCACAAAAAGTAAGGTAAACTGGGCAGCAGCTTTTTTCTTTTCTATGTTGTTTCTCCTGCCCCGCCGCGGTAGTCTAGTGGCTAGTTGGCTGCTGACCTGCAGGTCGCGGGATCGAATACCGGCTCCGGCGGCTACATTTTTGATGGAGGCGAAGATGCTGTAGGCCTGTGTGCTCAAATTTGCGTGCACGTTAAAGAACCCCAGGTGGTCGAAATTTGCGGAGCCCTCCACTACGGCGTCTTTCATATACATATGGTGGTTATGGACGTTAAACCCTACATATAAATCATCAATATGGTTTTTATCTGCCTATATGTGAACTTAAACCCACTTTACTTAGACTCACGCTAATAGACATTTACATAAAACGAGAAAACACACACGCATTGCGTGCCTGCTTGACAGGCTGCCTCGAATTTTTCGTTAAGACGCTGAGAAAGCGGAACAAACTAAAGGTAGAAATTACAGGTCTCTCAGCAATGAAGACAGGTATAGAAATCACACGTGATATACGTCGGTGCTTTAGTGGCCCCGTGATCCGATAATATTCTGTTCACCCTGAAGATTCGAAAGCCAAAAAAAAAAAAAGAGTCATGGGTACTTTAAAAAAAAAAAACTAGAAAAACTTGAGAATAACTTTGAAATCGATTGGTTAATAAAACAAGAGCAATTGCTGAAAACGCGAGGAAAAAAATTGTGCAGCTTTCTAACCGCTGTTCTGGGTATATCAGAAAATAAAGAGAAAGTGATGATGCGCTGGTGACATAGGTATATGCGAATATGAATAAAAACTCGAGACCTGTAAATAAAATGCGTATATATCAATATCTCGCTCTGAAAATATTAAAAGCTAGACATGCTTCGTAGAAGCCAGAGACCAGCATGAAGTGATGTTTTCGCGTGTAGGCAAGAAAAAAAGAATTGGGGCGCTTAGAAAGATGAGTGAGAGAACCGTGTACGCACTGAAAAATTGGCCTTTCGGCCGGGTGAAATGATTGATGATTCCTTGCGCAGGCCGGATGTGTGTGAAACAATTCCCGCGTAACGGCAGCTGCCTCACGCCGGACAACGCTTATTTCTCTTTTTTGTCTGTTAATATACGCCATGAAATAACCACACCTATAGTTGCGCTATATGATGACTATCATTTAAAAAAAAACACGAATGCAGCCTTCGATGTATAGCGAAACAAACCTGTGTGGGTTTTCCTTTTGGCTTACTGGCCGCTGTGGTCTCATTTCAATGCAGGTGAAATGGTAGAGTCCTGTGTACTGTGGGAGGTTAGATCACGTCAAGTAGCACCAGATGGTTGAAATCATCCGAGAATTTCATTAGGTATTGCTTCATAATTGTATCTTGGTTCTGAGGACATAAAGGGCAAATATTAAGAATAATATTTACGCTCATTATAAGAATAAGCCCAAGCGCTAACATGCATGTGGCTTCGCGCACACACAAGAGTGTTCAACTAGATAGGAGAACACTCATATAACTACAATAAACATCTCACATACCTGAATATATGTGGTCACAGTCACCGTATATCAAAAAAGGCTTAGCGTTTATCGTAAGAAAATATAGGCATTAATATAGGGCGCGAATGCTTGCGCGGATAGCCGTGTATATGTACCATGCAAAACATTGATAGTTAACTATTCAATAGCCGATAGGTAACGTCTGTCAGTAAGTAAACAGCCCTAGCGATGATTCCAGCGTACAAGGTGACGTTCTATAGTCGCAGAACACACAGTATGCTACACTGATCGACGTGTATATAGAAAGGAAAACAACTGAGAATTACTTACAACCTCTCAACTGTCTAAAAAAAGGAAGAGGAGGAGAGTGACAGACACAATGCAATTGGCATCAAAATGCTCGCCAATAATGTGCTCAATGGCTAGTTGAATAAAGGTTGCGTGAACATTGAACATTGCTTTCTACAAAATTGTTGTGAAAGCTATTCGTGTGTATGAACCGTACTGCGCTGAGATAGATGCTGACACTTCAATGCGTAACGCTTCTGCTGCTTCATTCAACTCTGTTTCTGGACTTTCTATTCATACTATACCATCTGCAGGGTTAGGGAAAGTGCAAGCAGACTCTATATGTACGTTGACCTCGAAACAAATATTATTTCTTAAGGGCATTAGCACACACATGTGTACCTACTCATGCAAGAAAGTGAGAGAATCATTTCAATAGGGAGCTGGAGAAGTTGCCCTGGCTTGCCCCACCGCGGTGGTCTAGTGGCTAAGGTACTCGGCTGCTGACCTGCAGGTCGTGGGTTCGAATACCGGCTGCGGCGGCTGTATTTCTGGCGGAGGCGGAAATGTAGGCCCGTGTGCTCAGATTTGGGTGCACGTTAAAGAACCCCAGGTGGTCGAAATTTCTGGAGCCCTCCACTACGGTGTTTCTTATTATCATATCGTGGTTTTCGGACATTAAACCCCACATATCACTCAATCAAGTTTGCCTGGCTTTTCA